CGAAGCATGAAGCTAGCTCTCTGATCCTTAAAACCCTAATTCTCCCCTCTTTTCATTTCTTAACCTATTCTCCCCTTTAATCCTAATTCTCCCCTCTTTCAAACCTTAGCCTCTGAATTTCTTCAATCTTCCATCTTGGATCCAGAATTGGCTCCGCCGTCCGAGCTTTCTCCCCCATTTTTACCTTTAAAAGATCCTTTTACCGAAAGGACGTTCCCGAAACGGCACAAAGAATAGAACAGCCTAAAACAGAATCGGAGCCCCGTAATTGGACCGCATTGGGTTGCCCAACCAAGTCATGTCTCATATTGGCTAAGAGGCCCGTAGTAAGACCTGGGTGTTCCTATAATTGGATAAAATTCGTCCTTTACGTCAGGCTCGCTCAGTCATCGATTTAGTCCTTTCGATTCTGTTGACTCCCACTATTGGACTCGAACGGAGCATTTTGTTACTGGTAAGTGTGCCCTGACCAACTGTGACGGGGTGTCTGAATTGGCCCCTGAATATTGGCACTAGAATCGGTCGTTGCTCCCAATATTTGAGGTAACTGAACATTAATAAAAGTCCACTTTCTTTATATTTTCACGGTATACTCATGTTACAACACGACACCGTTGTCAAAAACACCACTCAAGGACCAAGTACATTGATGTTCAGCATCATTTTATATGAGAGAAGATTGAAGATGGAATAATAGGTCTGAAGTATTGTGCTACAAATGACATGCTTGCTGATGTGCTTATAAAGGCATTGGTCAAGGATAGACATCATGACTTGATTTAAAGATTAAATTAAAAGCCTTTTGAATATTAGCAAAGTGGGAGTGTTGAAGAACTACAAGTACTTGCTTAGTTAAAATCACATAAAGTTTAAGCATAGTATGTTGCTAATAGTAAAAAGGTAGCAAAGAGGTAAAATAAGTTATTGTAGTAGTATCGAGGCTTTAGTAAGATGAGGTAGAAATGGATGTAATATCAAATAGATGGAAGTTGCCTCGTTGGTACACAAACCACCACCTATAAGTAAAGAGTATTGGAAGTAAGAATTATCTTCCTCCATACTTTTTCTTAGAATATAATACTTGCTGATGCTAAGTGTTTGTAGCCTTTAGACTTCTTTTTCTTCAATAATTATAAAGTTAGATCATCAAGGATCTATCTCAGCAATAGCACAATGCAAACTTTGCCTTTAGGTGAAAAAACAATACACCAACACCAAAATGTTCTTAACCACAAGTAAGAGCAAAGCAAGATCTAGATCTAGATCTGAATCTGAAAGCTAGGTCCTTCTAAAGCCTAACTTCAGCAACAACAACTTGATCAACTCTACACTTACAAAATCACTTTAAAGAACCTCAAAAAATACTCAAGCAAATGTGAGTGGGCCTATAACCTATTGAAGAAAAGAAGTCTAAAAGCTAAAAACACTTAGCATTAGCAAAGATTGTAGTCTAAGAGAAGTGTAGAGAAAGATAATTCTTACTTCTAACACCTTTAAGTTATAGGTGGAGTTTACATCCCAAGTACATAGACTTCATCTAGAGTTACCATCATCCTTTTAATCTAGATCTAGATCTAGATTCATCTTAACTTAGCCGCAACCTCAAAATCGTAGCCGTCGCTATAATAACTTCTTTTAATCGTTTGTTGTCTTTTGACTATTAATAACTTAGTATGATTAAACTTCATGTAGTGGTAACTAAGCAAAAACTTCTTGATCTTCAACAATATTAGCTATCTTTATCTTGTTTCAAAAAGATATCCAAATCTTTACTATAATATTTTTTCAATCATTTCATTGGCAAGTCTTGCCATTACATATTCTAAAGTGAGTTGTTTTAATTTAATGGACTCTAATGCTACATTCATGTAATTATAGGACTTAAAAAGGCTCAAAAGTAAGATTATGATGAAAATAGCCATCATCTAAAGACTTTCAATAATTACAAATTTATTTGTAAGAGTCTTTATTTTATTAATATAAATCATTAGACCTTCATATTTTTTTATTTTCTATTTAAAAAATCTTATTGTTACAAAAATAATATTAAAAATATTCTTGCTCTTATAAAATTTACAAAGAATCTTCTATATCTTTTATAAGAGATAATATGAAAGAAATTCTAATTGTTGACAATCATAACAAGCTTTTTTTATATATATTCTTTATAATTCTTCTCATCTTTCATATTAGCATGCATACTTTAAAAATCTTTACTTTCATTTATAATTATTCTAATAATTCAATGAAACCAACCAAAGTTCTATTTTTCTTTTTTAAAAGTAAAAAATTCTTTTTCTAAGCTTTTTAATGATCTTCAAGCCACATCTGTAAAAAAGTTATATTAAAGAAGTTTAAAAGGAATAAAAAGCTTTCAAAATTAACAAAAAGATATTTTTATCTAAGAATCCTAGAATGATATCTTTGTAAATAAACCAGTGATTTTATTCTCAAAATACTTTCATATTTATTTTTAAGAATTTTGATAAGTCTTATAAATTATGTAAATCTTACTTATTAAGTTTTCTATTCTTAAATCACTTTTATACTCACAAATTGCTTCTTAGTTCTATAAGAGGCCTTTAAAGCATCTTAAGTTTTTTCTTCAGATGAATGTACAAAGTTAGTTTTCCAAAGATCTAATTTAGTAAGAATATATAATTTTAGTGTTTTAAAATATTACTTTAAGGTGAAAAATAAACCTCTAATTTAAAATTTACTTAACAAAAAATAAAAGCAAACAAAAATTAAGATTTAGATTCAAAATTTGAAGTTATGATATTCTAAATTTTAATATTAGCAACAACAATATGATCTAATCTTCAAAATAATATAGACTTCATAAAATTTTAATACTCATAAGCAAAGGTGAGTGGGCCCATACTCTAAGAAAAAAATAAAAGTCAAATGTTCCAACACTTAGCATCAGCAAGGTTGTATACAAAGAGAAATGTGGAGTACAATTACTTTCACTTCCAATGTCCTTCACTTATAAGTGGTCACAAATGACATCTTTCTTACTATCAAGATATTTTTTGACATATATTTTATGCTATTTTGACCACTAATAACTCATCTAAGATAATATCTTCTATATCATAATTTATTCTATTTTTATTAATTTACTATTATTTACCTTAATATTCATAACCTATTAAAGATATAAAAAGTCTATTTTATTCATTCTTAGTATTAATAATGTTAAATATAAAAAATATAGAATAAGATAATTTCTATTTTTAATATCTTTTATAAAAAACAAACCATATTTAATATAAATTAATTTTATTTATAATTATTTTATACTAAATTACTCTATATAATCAAATTATATTTGCTAAAATCCTAAATTTATCTACTATTTAAAATCTTAGCAACCACCTTAAAAACTTGTCACAAGTTATTATTGTTCTTTAACTATTAGCAATTTGTTGAGATTAAATTCTCGGAAATAGTAAATAAATAAAATTTTAAAGATCCTTATTTAAAAATTTTAATATATATATATATAATATTTATTTTCTTATTACTATGAAAAAACTAATAATACTATTCTAATATAAATTATGTAATCAAATGTTTCTTTTGTTTATTCTTTTAAGATTTATATAAAATTTATAATTTTAAGTACTTTTTGTATTCTTTTGTGTTGTCATTTTTTTGAGAAAATTAAAATTTTCTTCAATTTTTTTTAATTCTTATTAAAAAAAATCTATGAATGATTATTCTAAAATCTTTTCATTCTTCTTAAATTTTTATTTTATTTTTTAGAATCATAAATTATACAACTAAAATTATTTTAAAATTTAAAAGAATTTTTATTTATAAAAAAATAATACTTTGATATTTTAATAGTTTTAATCCAAATAATTATTTTAAATTATAATCTGAAGTAATTTATAATTTCCACTAATATCCTTAGCAAACATGTTATTTAGGATTTTAGGTTTTGTTTTTGCTATGTATCATGTAGTTTTTGCATTAAAAATGAATTGAGTTTATAAACATTGACCATTAATTTGTTTTCTTAAAATTTAAATTTCTTTTGAAAGCAAAAGAAAATAAAAGTAAATTCATAAAACTTTATGAATAGTTTATGAAAAAATATGTAAAACAAATCAGTATCGTACTTTACATGTTTCATTGTGTTAAGGATTTTGTTGGATAATTTAAGCCTAAGTGCTAATAGTGTACCTACGGCAATCAATTAAAGAGTAACACTTGATTTTTGATTTTTGATTTTTAAAGAGTTACAATTGATTTATATATATATATATATATATATATATTAATTGATTGCCAGCAGGTATACTATTAGCACTCAGGCTTAAATATTTGAGAACATATATCCTAACTTATAAACAGAAATGAAAAAACTCTGTCGGATCTTATTTATATGTGATGATGGGTACTATCCTTAACCTTGACCAACAACATAGAATGAACGTAAAATGCATTTCCAGTATTAGAAAGATAGTCTTAAAATTATACATATTTTCAATTACTGTATGTTTCTCTCCAGTATTGGCATGATATTAATCAGCTGGATTACATAAGTTTAATATTTCAACAAAATATACAAATAACACATTCAATCAATCCTATGTTGAATATTCAAACAAAACTTATGTTTTTAGACACAAATGATCTAATAAAATTGAAATTTTTCTTTGCTAGTAGCAACAGGGTAAGGTGTGTTTTTATTTCAAGATTTTAACCTCACGATTACACTTAGAGTTCTATGGTACTCTAAAAACATTGTTGGCGTGGGTGCATGTGTAGTGGGGGAGGAGAGAGTGGGAGCTTTCAGGTGGGAAAAGACGAGTAACTAGACAGATATTTGGAGGCACGCCACGAGAGCGTCCCACTGGAAGGACGTGAAATGGGGACGAGAGAAAACGGGATGGACAGAAGATGGACGTTGACGAGAAATAGAGGGAGCCCGGGGGTTAGGGAAGGATGTCACACTGGGGAGGGGGGGGGCCTTATCCATCTTTCGCTCGCTTTCTCCCCCTCTCTCCCCCCGCTAAACCCTTTCTGTTTCTCCTCCCCTTTCCCTTCCCTTCCCTGCCCCTGTTTGCTTGCCACTCTATTACACTTGTGCTGCTGCCTTGGCTTGCTTGCATTTCCTCCATTGCAGCCTGCCATGGCCTCCTCCACCAACCCTGACGATGAGTTCCTTTTCCCCGATGACGATGACGAGCCCCAACCCGACACTACTCGCTCTTCCGCTGCGTCCTCACCCGTCATCCCCAATTTTCGTGGCAAGTTGCCCGAGCCTGAAGTTCCCGACTCCAAGGGCCCCCTCAAGGTCTTCCTCTTCTTTGCACTATCTTCCTTCTCTCTGCATCCACTACAGTTCTACTACTCCATTGCTATCCCTCTCTTAATTCCTCCTCTATCTTCATGTGAATGCGACATGCATTCCATCTTTCTCGTTCCTCCACCTTCCTAAACCTTTCTCAAACCCTACATTTTTCATTTTTGGCTGCCTCTAAGAATGTATTGCTGCTCCGACTTCAATTTAGGTCTCCATCTCGAATGGGCTATTTTGTGAACTTTCATTTAATGTGTTGCTGTTTGACTTCAATCCTCCAGGTAGAATGGGCTTCAGATGACGAATCGGAAGAGGATGAGGACGAGGAAGACGAGGAGGATGTAGAGGAAGAAGGAATGGGAGAGTCCTCAGAGGTAGGTGTTGATGGTCAGGAGCCGTCTTCGTCCTCGAAGCGGCGAATGAGGAAGAGAAAAGAAAAGGAAGCAGAGGAGGAGGAAGACGAAGTTTTGGAGGAGGAAGATGAATGGAATTTTCCTACTGACAGGGAAAATTGGACTGAAGAGGATCTGGAAGAGGAGTGGGCAGACCCTACTTCGGCCGACGATACGGTTGGTCGGGATCCAGAATTAGCTGAGGACGATGAAGAGCTTATTGCTAAGCTTGAAAAAGATGGAAGGGCTCCTCTTCGGAGACCGTATTATGTTCCTTACAGGAAAGCGTATCCTTCAATTCCTGAGGATCATCCTGACATTGATAGTCCTGAGGCAGTTGTGGAGGAGCTGGAGCGTATGGAGGAGTTTCTTGTGTGGGCCAGCTATATCTTTGAAGATGGGTCATCGTAAGAAAATTATTGATTGTTTCCTATTTATGATGTTCTTTCTCGTTACATTACATTGTGTTACAGTAAACAATCGGTAGCCGTCCGCTCGAGGAAACACCCTGTTAGACTTCAAGATTTTCGAAGTAATGGTTTTATGTTCTAAAATACTAAATGCAAGGTTTTATATGGATGTGCATGTTTTGCTAGAGTCGCCTATTAACACCTACATTAGGTAGATTGGTTTCTGCTCCATGGTGTTGCTTGTACTCACTGTATTTAATTGTGCCTGATGCGCATGAATGTTTAGTGTATCACGTAGGCATGCCTGGTGATTTGATGTCGAGATGCCATGCAAATCTATACTGTATTCATTCCCGTGAGCATCTGATTATGTGGAATTTCTGATATGATACAGTTATGAAGGAACAGTTTGGGACGACCTTGCGCATGGGAAGGGTGTCTATACAACGCCAATGGAGCTTTGCAAGTAGGTTCTTTGTGTTGTATTTTAGCGCGCTAGCGCTCACACACACGCATTTCATGTTCTCAATAGCGTGTATCTTCAGTAGAAGGCGTGAGGGAAAAGATGCTTGGCATAATACTCTTGATTTTTGTTCAATGGTTATAATCATCTTGTTGGCAGATATGAAGGTGAATGGTTCCAGAACCTCATGCAGGGACACGGTGTTATTGAGGTCGACATTCCTGTAGCTAATCCACCCCCTGGCTCTGAGTAAGTCTACTTGCATTTCAAACCACCTGCATGTGTAATTTCGATATCCAGAGCATTGAGGGGACGTCACATTATAGTCCAAACTGTGATGGTTGTTGTGCTTTGGGGGGGGGGGGGTAGGAGGAGGGCTGAAACATGTTATCGGGTCTTAGTCTTCAATTTTCCCTCATGCGCTATCTTCTGTAATTGTTTTGTACGGAACGTTGTTGTATTTGGTTTACTGTGTGTTTCTACATATCGCCATCTCACACTACACATACAACAACACGTGAATTCTTTCATAGGTGAATCTATGAGAAAAAGAATTCGTTTTTATTTTTGTTTTTAATACAACGGGAACTGTGATAGTGGTACTCGAAGTTTCTCTAACCCGCTTCCTTTGACCTAATTTATTCTGTTAGCATTCTGCATACATGAAGTAAGTCTACAAAATGATCTAATGTCGATCACCATGCTTGTTCCTTTTCTTATGTATTGAAGACTCTGATGCAGATTAGAGCGAAAAATGAAAGCAGAGGGGAAGATACTGACAACCGATTTCCTTAGTCCAGAGGACAAGGAATGGTTAAGGATGGACCTTGAAGATGCACTTGCTGACAACCCAGAGGCAGTCGATACCAATCCGTTTGAAGACGATGACCTCTGGGTGAAGTATTTTGGAGAGAAGCCGTAAGTCTGGTTTATTTCGAATATACTCTCTCCTTTAGAAGTCGTTTCTAGCTGGCCAATAGGTCCGTGGTGTTGGTCACAATTTTTTTAAGGAGTAACATCTGGCGGGATTTGTGTTTCACAGGGAAAAGGGTCATTACAAGTATGCCGGGCAATGGAAACATAGTCGTATGCATGGTTGTGGAGTCTACGAGCTCAATGGTCGTCAAACATGGGTAGGCATCTTCATTTGCTGATTTCATTCGTACAAGGGGTAACAAATTTGTTAATAATTATATTGCTATATTTCTCGTTCATCTATTGTGTCAAAAGGAGTTCTCACTAGCAGGACGCTCAACGCTTGGTCGAAGTCTCCTATTCCAGTGAGAAAATACTGCCCGCTGGTGTTAATGTGAAGTCGGTTGGTCCATTTAGAATATGACCGTATTGATATTCATCTTGCCATGAGATGTCAAAGACCTCAAGAAAACGACTTTTACTTCCAGGGAAAATTTTATTTTGGGGAGATGCTGCCGGATGAGGAGGAATGCGATGATAAACTATCAGCTGTAAGCCTGAAACTTACGTATGGCACTGTGCTTGTGTACATTTATATCTTGTAGTCGATGTTTGTGTTTCGCTTGGAAAACGTCGAGATGCACGATTTGGTAGCATTTTGAAGTTAACTTTCGTGCGCTGGTCGATTTGTCTCGTTGAGCAGGATGTAGTTTCTGTCTTTTAATTTTCAGAGGAAATGCTGATTTTTTTAGCTTGATGATCTCATTTCAGCTTATGGTTTCAATTGCAGATGCATGCCTCACTTGCAGAGGTAGCTGCTGCAAAGGCAAGGATGTTTGTCAACAAGCCTGACGGAAGTACGTTGTTCTAGTTTGTAAACATGCCAATGCTTGACGTCCGCCATTTGAGTTTCTTATATAGGGAAAGCCTTGCCATACTTGTTGCTCTTTTCGCTTTTTCTATGAGAATCGCGTGCTTCATTGATGGGATTAGTAGTAATTCTTTTTTTTGTGGAACAGTGGTTCGTGAGATGAAGGGTCCATTTTCTGATCCTCAGCATCCATATATGTATGAGGAAGAAGATATGTGGATGGCTCCAGGCTTTATTAATCAGTTTTATCCGGTTTGTTTATCTGAGCTCATTCCTTTTGCATTGAATTAGAAACGAGTGGACGTGGTATTGAGATTAATTCTTAAGTTAGTGCTCAGATTTTGAACTGCTTGATTGGCACTGCAGATGGATTGCTCATAGTAACTGGTACGTGAGATAGTAGTTAGGGCACGAGGTGTCTTAGTATGGTGCAAAAGATCTCGGCCATTTGAATATGACTATTGACAGGTGCCGGAAGTTTGGGAGAGGTATGTCAAGGAAGTCGACTCTGAACAAGAAATGTGGCTGAACTCATTCACAAAAGCTCCACTTCGAATTCCTATGCCCTCTGAGCTTGAGTACTTGTGGGAAAAAGGTGCAGTTTCTCGTGCTTGGGCATTTGATTTTTTTACTTGTACCTGCGTAATTATGGAAGAGTGGCTGTTTTTTCCAAGGGAATCTGGTTACTTTGTTTATTCTTATAGTAGAAGGCATACACGAACTGGGTGGTGCTAGTACTTGTTTTTTTTGTACTTCAAACTTGCCTTGGTAGTTATTTTGATTCTGGGGTGCTGCTTTGGTCTCTGTTGTACATTTGGTTCCACTTTATATCGATGTTTGCTTTGACATGCATAGACAAATCGAAGCTTTACAGCGAAGCTGCCAGAGTATTTGACATATCTGTGATTTTTCAGATGAGGAATTTCTGGTCCTGACCGGCCCCAGTGGAGATTCCGGAAATTCGGAAACAGATGGAGCAGAGGTCTTGTACCATGTACCTACTGGACAGATTATTAATTGGGCGGAGGATGCTGAAGGGAAGTTGCGTTTTTTTATACAACCTATGGTTGAAGATGGCTCAGTAGAACCCGATTTGGCGATCCCTCTTCCCACGGGATTCAAACATTTCTATGGAGAGAAGGATTCTCCTGATGATGATTACGAAAGTGGCGACGGAGATGGAGAAGAGGGTGGTAAATTACTCTCTCAGGACGAAAAGCTGGAGAAAGAATGGAAGGAACGTGAAGAAGAGAGAAAAAGGCGTTGGGCAGAGGAGGATGCAGAGAGAGAACTGGAATGGGCAGAGAGGGAAAAGGAATTGGAGCTGGAATTGGAATTGAAGAATCTCGATGCGCAACTTGACGAGACAGTCGATGAGGCGGAAATGCTGGTATGGATTAGCACCTACCCTATGTCTTTGTTTAACGAGTAACACTTTTGCACTTCATCCTAGTAGAATGTATTTTACTGATACTTTTAAAACTGAACCTACGATGTTATGTCTTCAGCTTAAACTAGAGGATCTTTATGGAGCAACAGAGAGCGGAAAGGAGGAAGATAGAGTAGATGCTGAAGGCCGAAAAGAAGAAGCTAGTCTCGAGGAAGAAAGCACTTCTCGTGATAGCGTCAAGGATGACGAGGAAGTTGATGATGAGGATCAGGACGACGATGAAGACCCCAAACCGCGTAGCTTTGGCAAGGTGGCCATGGCCAGTCCACAGGGAGGAAACTCGGGCAGCTCGGGGAACACATCATTTCCAACTGCATTCGCATCAATCAGTCTAGCAACCCAGGTATGGCATTGCATCTAATCATAGTAGTGATGCACACCACAAGTATCTGTCACTCAATACGTGTCTCGTTTTAGATGCTGCTGATAAGAAGTTGTGCCCCTTGCAATCTTAGCGAAATTCTTGTTTCATGTACTTTGTCTGCATATTACCAATGTTCTAGCGAACATGTTGATAAGGTTGCTAAGCTGAGGGCAGTAAGGTCTTTGACTTCTGTAATTGTGTGTGCAGACTACCATGAAGCAGGTGCTAGGTCTCGTAGTTAAAAATTCCAGAAAAACGTGGCTTGCAGATCTTTTATCACCAAAATCTGTTGCAACTCCGACCATCAACTCTACAGCATCGCCTATGCAGCTGCAGCCCGACTCTATGGTATTCAGCCCTCTGAAAGAAGTCAGTGTGAATATTCGCAGCACTCGTCCATTGTCAAAATTGACAGCAACAGCCAGACCACAAATGCAACCCAAGACCAGAATAATACCAAGGCCACGAAGCTCCAGTTGCCGCATAATTGCAACCGAGCAGTGGAGCACCCCGTCCATTGAGGTTTTATCTCTTTGCCTTCCAGTGGAGGTTTAGGCATACAGCAGTGCATCCGCCTAGTGTCAGCGGAACTTCTCTCCCAGATTTTTGCAGTAGGTTGCAGCACAAGTAAGGCTGTGGGATGAAGTTTGTTGCCTAGGCTCTATGATCTGCTATTGCTGTCCCAATTTTGTTCCTTACTTAAGCACTTTTTATGCAAGGGCAGGAACTTATCATTACTGCGCTTGCTGTCCAATCGTTTGTGAGCAATTCAACTATTTTCGTAACTAGGTTTAGCTTTGGTAACAACCTCAAAAGTTCAGGTGATTGAGGATCTAAGTTTATCCATTGAATGGAAAATGAGTATTTCCAGATTCCGATGAGCATCAAGTTATTCCATGTGCTTCAAGCTGTCGGTTGCTGTCTCATCAGTTTATATATTCAATGTTAGACTACATTAATATTTTACTTTTCCTTCACTTGTACCAAAGTTGATTGCGTATGGAATCAAAGAGATGCTGGAAATGGATTTTAAAAGTACATTGCCCAAATCAACTTTCGCTCATCAGATTGTCATGATTATTAACAAATCTTATTTTCTAAATTTGTGAATATGTTACAGATTTTGCTACGTCGGGTCAAATACAAATCTCACTTGAAACAGTTAAACCATACCAATAAACTTTGAATTTGCTTAATTGATGCTAGAATGATATTGTATGCATAAGTGATTTTTTGACTTTTTGAACTTTTCTTTGCATCTTACATTCTAAAGTTAGAGATGTATGTCCTGAATTTTTTTTTTTTTCTTTTTTTTTTTTGTACGATATTAATATTTTGTTACTAATATTATTTTAAAATGTAGTTTCAATTTCTTTGGTTGAACTGCAGGTAAATTGTTTAAATTTTAATAAATGAATAGTTTTAATGCATCATTGTACATAATAGAAGGTAAAAATAAAAGAGATGTAGTCTTCACTGAAATAAATAAATCAAATAGTTTAACAATATCAATTTTAGATCATCAAAGAAAGACAATTATATTTATGTATGTAATTTTATTTTTCTATATTTGAAAATCTACTCATTCTTTTATTTTCTTTAAATACATAAAATTGGTTATAAATATTGTGAGATCATTAGCTACAAAATATATTTTTATAATAAATATAATATAGAATCTTTTTATGGTTATTAAAAGGATGTATGTTGAATTATTAATTCAACAAAAACATTATTAATCTAAATTATGAATAACATTTGTTTATACATTTCTTGATACTTTAGAAGCCATAAAGATAGTAGGTATGCATTATAATACCAAAGTCTTATATGCAATTACTATTTTTAAAATAAGAAGAAATTTACAATAATTTTTTTAATATAAATTTATCAAATAATGATCAAAAGCATTTTATTTGGAACAAGGTTTTAAATCAAATACCTAAGCTGACAAACTTTTATAAAACAGTCTTTTTGAACCAAACTTTATAAATTTTTGTGTATTATAATTTTAATAATGCTCTGAGTAATCCTGCTATTAAAAAAAAAGTATTTTTGCTTATTTTTGCACGCAAAAACAATATTTTCATAAATATTTCTATAAATAATGCAAACAAATCTTAGAAGTTAGTCTTTTATAAAGAAGTTATGAAATATTAGTAAATTGTGTTCTGATTCTTTAAAATTTTAGACACTGATTTTTAAAATGTATTCTAAAAATATAACACATTTTATGCAATAATAATTTTGAAATCAGAATTATAATATTATTTTCTACACTTCTGATAGTCTTGAGATTTTTAAACCACCTTGATTCAAATACTATTCAACTTTAATATTATGTAAATTTTCTTTCATTTCTAACATTGGCATGATTTTAACACCATTTATTGTTACATTACTTCGACTATTGTTTAATTATTATAATATCTTCTATCATAGTTCAACTATTACGCTGCTTCTAATGTTATTACAAAAATAGTTTTGAAATCAACCATTGACCCCAATATCATTAGATCTGCTATGCACAAAAAAGACTTATACTTCAAAGGCAATCTATTTTTTGCTTATAAACAATGTTATGCAATTATTACAAAGCAACCAAAGCCACAATAAGTTTGATTGTGTTGCAACCAAAGAAGAACAAATACAACATTAAAGTTTCTTTGCACATTTAGAATGCCCCTTTTGAGTTTGTTGGTTGGACTAAAAAGACAATTGGTGGCATCTAAAACTAAAGATTACAAAACTACAATCATGAGCTCTTGTTTGAATTTCCTGGACATTTAATACATAAGTATTTAACTTAAAAGCAAGAGCTAGCAATAAAATTCAATAGATATTAAAGAAATTATTTATATCTTCTTTCTGCATCCTACTTTAAATTATTTTGTACAAAAAATTCCAAAATTTTGTTTCTAAATACAAAATACAAGATAAATATTTTTAGAAGTATACTTCGAAACAACTATTATATTCTAAATATGAGATATTAACAAAAATAATGTAAAAAATTGCAATATCAAATTTTTAAACATTCCAATTATCAAACTTTTTTGAAATACTAGCATGTGGTAAGACAATAGTACACATGTGAGATATAGTTTGCATATAAAAGAAACTTAGTATCAATGATTATTTGTTTTTAAAATCATCCATAAAAAAGACATATAAATACTTCAAAATTAAATGAGAAAAACTCAACAAAATATGATAAGAAATATTGATGTTTTCAACTACATCAATATAATGTTGATACATCAATAGAACGAAATATTTGTTGCAAAATTTTAAAAAATAGAAAGTTTTATTTTAGTTTTTAACATTTTTTTTTATTATAAGCTATAGAAATTTATGGTGCACTATAATCCTACTTAGATACTAGCATAATACAAAATTCTCAATATTTATAAAAAAATAAAAATAGAAAAATAGAAAAATATTAATAAAATGTGACATTAAAATATTTCAATTCTTGGCTTTGTTAAACAAATACCAAGTGGTGGAATTTTTTAAGACTTTAGATTTTGGGCCTCACATTTTGCTCTAAATAAAGTTTAAGTACACATCCATATAATACATTGTCTTTTTAGCATTGATATAAAGCCAATTTTTTTTAGATTTCTTAAAAGTAATAAACTTAAAATACATAAAAACTTCTAAACAATTTTTATAACCACTGGAATATAAAAAACGTAGAAACAATAATAATAAATGCAAAAAATACTAGAATAAATATTTATCACCCTTGTATTATTACTATTACACTAAACTATTTTGAACATAGATAATTGCAACATGTTTCACAACAATAGTCCCAAATTATTGGTGAATTATATATTACACAATAAAAAATTAACATTCATGAAACAACAAGAGAATTCAAAGACAAAAAATTCCTTGGATTTCAAACGTCTCTAATACTAACATAGAAATATAAAAGAAATATGGTGCATTTTAGGACTATGGTTATAAAATGATTGATAAAAATAATTTCTTTTACAATATAAATAAGGTTTAGTAATCCAAAGTAGAATATGGTATTTGATTACGTTTTGTTAACCAGGTGGAGTATGTTAATAGAGTTGACATTCATGTTGCAAATAAAAATTACAATGTTCATTTATTTTTTACATGTATATTTTAACATATTAAAAAAAATTAATTAGATGACTATGTGGATTTAAAATTTACATGATGTAAAATAAATCTGATCAATTCTAATAAAGAAATATGAATATATATATATATATATATATATATATATACATATTAAAATTTTAAAATAAATTATTAAAATAAAATTGATAAATAGAGAAGCAGATACTATTTGAAAAAAATAGTTACTTCAACAAGAGTGCAATAAAGAAAAAATAAATTAATGGTAAAGATAAAATTTTGGTTTGTTAAATGATTACTACATGGAGAATTCTTCTGCAGAAGAATGGACACAGAAAAGTCAATTTTCTTAAACCACCTACTTTCAAAATGCATAAACAGACTCATGTTTCTTTACTGGTTGTCAATGTGTTATCCATTTCACATTTTCTAATGTTGTTGCCTTGTACTATTCACCTCTTCTTCTACTCCTTGATATTAAAAAAGAAAAGAAAAAAGAAAGTGTGATACAAATTGAAATATGATCAAGAATAATAGATATATACTTTTTTTTTTAATATATGTAAGTATTAAAGGTTTAGGATAGTCCCTCTGGCCAGTGATGGTGAAAGTTTTGTAGTCATGACAAATGAAGGGTGATTGTGTTTGTTTATAGATTTTTTATTACAATATCAAGGACAATCAATCCTCAGGCAGGCAGCCGTCATCAATATTTGAATGGCATGTGAGTGCATGGGACAAGTGGAGAGTGGCCCCGACGTAGAACTGACTGATGAACTTCTTTTGAAGAAAGAAAAAGGCGATAATTTTAGAAAAAACCCATGTACAATATTGGAATGTACACTGCACAGAAGGAGCGAGACAAGAACCCATCGACAACAGAAGGGTGTCTGAACCACTACTGTGGTGCATGCATCTGCAGCAGCACTACAGACTTAGCTACTCTGCGAACAAGAGAAGAACAAGGACGACGACGACGACGACCCTTCATTTGTCATGACTACAAAACTTTCACCATCACTGGCCACACCTCCACTCTGTTGTCGCACCTTCGCTGCAGCCGCAACAGCATAATTCTTAAGTTCCACCACTGAATCAGTTGGCGACGGCGCTTCTTCGGCGGAGCCTGTGAATGGCCGTTGCGGCCAGGATTGTGGATAGCGCCAACAGCACCCATCCGATATAACTAGCTATAAGCGCCCCCAACACCCGCCTGCAGAATCCTCCCACTGCTACACACTGTGCCTCCCATCCCGCGTTTGGTTGTCCCTTCCGTCCAACCCACGAAATTGCTGTGGCTGTTGATGCAGCCGACATCAGCGCATTCGCCAACAACTGCCGCATCAAAAACAAGCCCACATTCTCTCCATGTTACTCATACTAATATGAATCCTCAACTCTTTACACTACACTCTGTTCCTTCTAAGTATTTCGGCCTAATTGACCCACACGCAGAATCCTACGTAGGTACTTCTTTCAGTCAACGTAATATTTTGCCGCGGACATCACAATATCGATTACAAACGAGTTACCAACATCCTCCTAAATTTCTCCTAGCTTGCTGCATAGCATGAATCATTTATGGACTCTGGCGTTGCAATTCAACAAACAGTATTATGCAAGGACAATGCAAATATGGGTGAATTAGAGCTGCTTCGACGGTACATTCGCTAGACTGCACACACGAGTTTCCGAAGCTTACGAAATCAACGAGGAAAGTGAGCCATGCAAGCGGGGTGGAACTGAGAGGTCCTCTTCGTGTCCACTCTCCCAGCAAGCTTGCCAGGGCCGCCAATGTTGAATACGTCAGCACTATAGCGTTAGCAATAATAAACCACCTGTACAGCGACAGTGAAGCAATCTCTTCAATTAGTTAAAATTGCAACCACATCATTGTCTTCAAATTCCCTGTTATCATACAGAAAAACTGGTCCATTCAAATCAACATTACGAAATTAAAATGTTTCACCATACAGTAATAGGTGTTTTTGGTCATATTTGTCGATGCTTCTAGAAAACAACTGGTCAATTCACATGTTACACAACATCATTAGCAGAAGTTACGTTGACGTCACAATGGCCTCCGAAAAATTCTATATTGGGGACTTTACCCCAAGATAGAGTTTTAATGCAATATACAAAGCCTAATCTTAAACAACCATTTTGATGCCATTCTGACTCTCAGTAATGCCAAGGAGATGAGAGGGAAAGAGCCTTTCATACTTAAATGCCCAAAAGTCTCTCCATCTGGCTGGCCCTTGGTTGGATTTGACCATGGTGGTAAGAGCTGCTGCTGAAGCCATGGCTGTCAGCAAACGCACGATGAAGTTTAGGCAGTGATGGACTCGGTGGCCTTTCTGAGGTGCATCGTCGTACGCGCGGGGAGCTAACCCTCCGTTGTTGTAGGGTGATCCCTTCTTGGCATTGAATGGTTCACTCACTGGAATGCTCACATCTGCCATCTTGCAAATTCACAACTACACCGATACTGTCGGAACTATTGAGCAGAGTCTGCAAAATGATACCAACATTTTAATAGTCAATCCCTACTGCGGGTGACGCGTTGACAGGTAGCTGCATATACACAATCACTCCTCGCAGTTTGTTATTTTCATTTTGGTTTTATTTTTATCATGAGAGATTACAAAACATAGAGCTGGCCAGAGCAGATTAATCAAACTACCACAAGAGATTAACAAGAGTAGTGCCAAATTATATACTGATCTCAAGCGGAGCCACGCACACCTGGAGCTCACAAATGCCAGAACAATAATGAAAGTCCAGGTCTCATACACTACATCAGTTTGGAGCTTGCGATGTCATGACCACCTTCCAGAACGGACAGTGGGTGACGATGAGGACTGAGACACAAGGGACCTGAACAGCAACGTAGAGATCCTACCTGAGTGAGGATGCAGGAATTGGAGGAATTGGAGGAGAACAAATCATGCGTAGAGGGAATACACGGGCAGGCAGGAATTATAATGGCAGTGGGGGAGCGAGGCATGGGAGAGAATAGTATAGAAAGTCCCGGCCGGGTAAGGAAAGCAGCGGGGGCAACACCAGCTCAAAGACGACACCAAAACAGAAAGGCGTGGGGCAGCAGGTATGGACACACCACCACCACCAGGAAGGAAGGAAGGAAGGAAAGAAGGATGGATGGATGGTGGATGGAAGGTGAATGGATGATGGATGGAAGGTGGATAGATTGTGGATGGATGGTGGATGGAATGTGGATGGATGATGATGTTGCTGTCGTGGAGCAACTGCCATGTGTGTGCCCGCGTGGCAGAAATGACTCCTCCAGCTGGGCCTTCGGGAGCCACCCCACGTCCGTCGGGCAGGGACAGGACAGCAGCACAGTGCTGCTGCTGCTGCTGATCCCCAAGGAAAGGGACGGGGACGAGCGCCCTGCTCCCCGTCCCCGTCCCTTCCCCCGCTTGCCCACGCCTGGCGCTCCCGCTGCCTTGTGATGCCGTTTGTTGCTCTCGCTGCTTCTTCTTCTGCTTCTTCTGCTGCTGCTTTTGCTTCCTACCACAACCTCCCGCCCTCTCCTTTCAACTCACCCACCACCCTTCCTTCGTCCAAAGTTCTCAACTCTCTTATTCGACGTCTGGAATTTTTTTCAAATCCATTTGAGTTGTCATCATTTGATGGCAACAAGTGTGTGTACGTAAACACCAACATAATCACAACCTTTGTAACCATCAATTGTTATAAAATTGGTCTCTTTCTTCACTAATGTCTGGTGAATCTTCAGCCACATGCTACTGACACCTTGTGTACATTGTTGTATCCTAGATATGTGTTAAAACTTTGGAGCAAGGGAACTTGTAACACTTATGTAGTATTAACACTCTAATACTTATTGGGGGTGGCATAGACAGTTTGTAACACTTACATGAATAACACTTATGTCACTTTGGAATTAAACAAAATAATTAATACTTATATAAATAAAGGATAAAAATACATAAGATATGAATGTCATCATACATCTAAATATAATAGAAGAACAAATCTAAAGTAATTTGATAAGATTCTTGGGTACACCAAGATCCTATTTGCTTTTGAAATGTTAAAATGCTCTATATAAGAGGTGTCACATCAATAGGCCTTCATTCAAAAAATTGTTTTAAGATCACTAATGTACTTTCAGCACATCTTCATCAGTGATCCTACATTAGTGATCTTACACTCTTCACAAATAGCAATGCTAGTTATTCCAATAAGATAGTAACTTCTTCCAAATCTTTCTTTTCTATTTCTTCTTGAGCTTCTTTGTCTCACATGATTGCCTCCTATGCTTTTATATTATAAAAAAGAACCAAAAAAATACATGTATTTTTTCAATAATTCATAATTATTGATACAATAATTTTAATGCACCAAGCATTCTCTAGCATTGTCACAAATTCTTACACATCAATATCTTTACTTTTATTTTCTATAAGAGAATCTATGTAGAGTTAAATTAGTTGTTTGCAATATTAAGCTCTAAATGATTGAATAATCCCTTTATCTATGGATTGCAATCTACTTGTGGTATTTAGAAGCAAGAATTCAAGTCTAGTCACCGTCAATTGTGCATCTACATTAGATATTTGGTGACTTGAAAAATTGTTAATCAATAGTATTAATTTTTATTTTTTTGCAACAACCTTCTTCTTCTCACAATCAAGCATAAATTCTTCAAACATACTTACAATCATCTAAGCTTTCTTATTTATAAACCTTTTTAATTCCAAGTTTAATTAGGTTAAGAATGTGCCTAAATAAAAATCTTTAAGGCTTTATATATTTATTAATAACCAAAAAAAATAGTTTGATGGTACCATTAGGATCTGCAATATCTGTAACAATAATGTATTTTTTTCCCTTATTCTTCTCAAAAAACCTTTGTATAAAAATTGTGTGATTTGATTCAATCTTATAAAAGAGTCATGTCTCATATATACTTAATATATGTCAAAAAGAGCATACTCAGATATAAGAAGTTTAATTTCCTCTATTCTCCTCAAATCATCAAGAGAAGTATAAACAAATACATTCTTTCTACAACAAATATATTCCTTGATATGAAATCTCTTTTTGAATCTATTCACCCATCTATACAAAAATTAAAGTTCCTTCTCACTATTTTCTTTAAGTATCATGCAATAAATTTTTTTTACAATAGTAGCTACAAGATCATCAAATAAAGAAACATTATGATCCTGTATAAGCTTAAATTAAGTGAAAGTAGCTTGCTCCTCCTATAAACATTGAGCCTTTTTAAAGCACTTTGAAATAATTAGATATTAAACATCAATATTCAATAAATCTTTTATCTTTAATAATTTGCAAATGCTCATCTCAAAAGTTAAGGCACAATAAGTAGAATTAGTTTATGTAACTAAAGTCCTATCGGTAATATTTTATCCACTAGATACCAACTTCTAATAATATTGGAAGATTATTATTATTTTTTTTTTGCACTAACATAAATTCAAAGTTTTTGACTATTATAGAAATAAACATCTAGTCTCTCTAAATCATCAAATTAAAAATTTGTCACAATATTATAACATTAATAAATCTTCAAATGACACAAAAATGGAACACAAAGAGGCTGATTTAAGAGAGCCTAAAGTTTAAATACTAAAAAAATTGATAGAATTTGGAACTAATAATGCTTGCATAATGTAGAATATGCAGTACAAAATGTAGAATAGATGATAGGTGAAGATACCATGAGTTATATACAATACAGAAAATGCCAATGACAACATGATTTGAATATAATGGACCTAATTCAATTTTATCCAAATTTTAAAATTTCATAGTCTTGCTTTCATCCAAATTAATACTTATTAAAGTGAATTCATTTAAAAAAGAATCATAATTATTATAAATTCTCTTAAAAACTAATAATTAATACATAATAGTATACATTTTGGATATTTTTGGGAAAGTGAAATTTTTCTTAATATACATGTAAGTTTAACACTTATTGGGATAATACATATTATGGATGGACAATACTTTTTCTATAGCATCTTTATAAGCCGCATATTCTTGTTAGCCACCAACCACCATATTTGAACTTATTATTTTAAATATTGATTCACTAAATTTAAAAAATATTAAATAAAAGAAAAATATAAATCTTATCATTTCATATATCAATAATTTTATTTTATTATTTTTATCAAATATTATACATTAAAAATATTTTTTAAATATTTTTTCATTTTAAAGTTTAAATTAATTTTTTTAATTTAAAAAATAAATTATAAAAATAAAAATATATAAAGTTAATAAAATTTAGGGCAGTTTTATTTTAAAGTAAAATATTTTTCTTAATCAATTATCAATTTTTAGTGTTTTAAGTTAACTAAAATTATTTTAATTATAAGGTTTAATTTTTTAAAAACTTTTCAAGAGAAAAAAATTTAATAACAAACCTAATCTGATTATAAATTTGCTGCAATGTATAGTTTTTGAGTTGTGGGTCACTTAGACCTAAAAATCATGATTTTAGAAAAATAAAAATTTTAAAATTGAGATGAGCTGATTGTTAATTTCACTAGATAAAAAAATATTTCAAACACTATCTTAAGATCAAGATTACATATTTTATTCTAAATATCTTTGTGATAAAAGATAAGATAAAATATAAAAATTAATCTTTTTCAGATTCAAAATTTTATATTGCATTGGTGCTAAACATCTAAAATGTTGTTTCTTCAACTAAAAAATTTAATTTCACTTTAGGCATTCTTAAATTTAAAAATATATATATTATTATTTTTAGATATATTTTAATTTTTAGTTTTTATAACTTTAATTTGATACAAAAAAATAATTAAATAACAAATATTTATTAAAGAAAGAAAAGCTAGAAGTCTTAATACGTAGCATTAGCAAGGTTGCACTCAAGAAAAGTATGGAGTAAGATGACTCTCACTTCCAATACTCTTTACTAACAATTGGAGTCTTCATTTACAATCATATTCATCCTTCTTTGCTACATCCAACTAAATTCTAAATTCTTCTTAACCTAATTGGTATCTAAAATCCTAAACACCATAAATCCTTTTAACTCTTTGGTATCTTTTGATTATTAGGAACTTACTATGATTTAATTATATGTGATAGCAACTATATAAGATCTTACCAATCTTCAATACTCCCACTTTGCTAATTATCTGAAGGCTTTCAAGCCTAATGCTTCTATCAACTCGGGGTATCTATCCTTTATTAATGTTTTTGTAAGCACATCAACAAGCATGTCTTTTGAAGCACAATATTTCATATCTATTATTCCATCTTTAATTTTCTCTCATAAGAAATGAAGTTGGACATTAATGTACTTGGTTCTTAAATAGTCCTTTGGATTCTTAGCAAATGCAAGACATCCTTGATTGTCACACATTATTGGAGTTACTTCTAATTACACTAATTCAATGTCTTCTAAAAGTTGACTTATCCAATATTCTTTTATTCCACAATAACTTACTATCATGTATTCAACCTCTGTAATTGATCTTATAATAGTAGGTTGTCTCTTGAAATTCCATAAAATGGCTTCCACTCCAATAAAAAAACACATGTCATGTCGTGGATCTTCTATCATTTGCATCTCTAGTCCAATTCACATCATAATATCCTTACAAATTAATGTTATTACCATCAAAGCATAATTTGAAGTTCTTTGTATCTTTCAAATATCTCAATATTTTTTTTATTATTGCTCAATGCAAAGGTTCTGCCTTAGACATGTATTGGCTCATAATACTCACATTAAATATAAGATCCACTCTTGTGGCCACCATTGCATATATAAGTGAGCTTATTACTACTTTATATAGAATACTTTATATTTTACCTTCAATTTAAGCATATTCTTTATTTGTAAGCTTCATCAACTTCAAATTGGCCTTGAAAGGTGTCCCAATGGGCTTGCACTCATCCATATTGAATCATTTCAATACTTCTTCAATTTACATAGTTTGGCTCATTGTAATGAAATTGTTGCCATGATTTCTTACAAACTCCATTCCTAAGCAATAGTGGAGCTCTCCAAAAT